GTCCTGTCCCATAGCACCTAGTATTTTTGCATATCAGTGTGCTGCACTTTGTGTTATTATTTCCTGTTTACTTGGTGGTAGTTCTCCCCCAGTCTGCAATCTCCTTTGAGAGTAGGGTCTGTATCTTGTTTCCCCCAGTGCATGACACATGGTAGGTGTTCCGTAAATCAGTTGTGAAATGCTTGGTAGAATCCAAATCTAGAGAACATTCAGGGGTTGAGTGAGGACTTGGGAAGTATAAGCAATACAGGAGCATTACAGTCCAGGAATCAAAAGAGAAAGATTGAGTACATCTGGTTCCCCAAGACTGGCTACAAAAGAAGCAAAAGAGAGCTAAGCCATAGGAGTCGCCTAGCTCTGGTAGTGCTGTAATGAAGTCTAGAGAGAGCTGTTACTACAGGCTTTGAAGATATCTTAGGAATTGGTAGCATCCCTATGTTTATATGCTATTAACACCAGAGTCATCATGGGTAAAACAGGGAAATCCTTTAGAAATGTTTCTCTATTAGGGAATGGGGAAAAAAGAAGTATTAAAACTATTCCATTCTATGACATACTATGCAGGAAAGTAACTCAGCTATCACAGTTGGAATAGCCTAGTCCTTGAGGAGCTAATAAGAGAAAAATAATGAAATGCCCTGCATATATTCTAGCATAAATCAAGTCTCAGTGCAAACCATACAGACAGTGCCCTCTTTGGATATATGAATGAGAAAAAAACAAACTGATCTAATTGAGAAAGGACTCTTCTTCCTCTTGGGCTGATGTAGGCTCTTGTTACAGTTGACAGCAGACAGTGTTTGAGTTGGTTTTCAGCCCTCAGTTGGTGTCTTTTGGCATGACACAATCTACAACAATTGGACATGGCTCAGAAAGTGATCTAGAGAGTGGTAGTTCGCTGGCACCCAAGAGTCAGGTATCAAAAATCCTACTTCATACCGTATGTATTTCCAGAGCTAGTCATTGACAGAAGCGCTTTCCATAGCATAGGTAGTGTATGTGCTGCTCAACACAGGGACTGCTAGCTAGGTTTGGCTGTTTACATTTTAATTTTGATAAAATTAAAGCTTCAGTGGCTCAGTATCACTAACCAGTTTCAGAGGTCAGAAATGACTGCTATATGGACAGTGCACATATGGACTATTTCTATAGACTCAGAAATTTCTGTCATATAGTGTTGCCATAAATTTGATGTCTTCTGCTCTCACTACCCCACAACTTTTTTATCCTAGTACCACACTGCTTGTGTTCAAATTCTGACTCTTGTTCTTACTAACAATGTGATTTGGGACAGGTTCCTTCTCTCTGAGTCTGTTTTATAATCTATAAAATGGGGATACTGATAATAATGATAGCTACTCCTTAAAATTGTTTTGAAAGCTGTTATATGAAAAGTACTTAGAGCTGTGTTGAACTTGGCAACATGTAGAGTAAGCAATCAGTACATGACAGCTATAGATATTGGTTTTGGTCATTTATCCCCATTCCCTTGCAGATACACTCAGCAGTGCTGATCTCTTCCCCTATTACAGGGAAATGGCATTAAGCCTATACTTCCTCCTCCCCTGCTTCCCCTAGATAGATCTTTTTCAATCAAAACCACAAAGGCAAGGGAGTCAAAACATGGTATTCATTAGCAAACACCGAGATTGGCTTAGGTACTGTTGTAAATCATGTCACACAAATTGCCAAAGATTATTTCCCCCAATACCCAGAAAGAAAAATAGGGAGTCGTTTTATTTTTTTATTTAATTTAGAATAATTGTTTGAAATCCCAGAACAATGACTTGTGTCCTAGCAGGTATAATCTGGCATTTAAAGGAGCCTAACCTGAACAGCTCCAGACTAGTCAGCCCAATGAATTTTAGGGATTTTTTTCCACATTAATCACCTTTAGAGTTAGGAAATTAGTCTTGAATTTGTCCATTTCCTTCTCGAGTCAGCAATGTGACTTTGCAGAGGAATTCAGTGTAAGAATTTTGGCAAGAATCACCTGCTATCTTAGATTATTTTCAACTTCTATAAGAAGTTCAATAAGATCTGTTCAGAGCCAATGCTTTCTCTTTCGTTATTATTTCTAAATTACAATAAAATTGATTTAAAATTTCCCATTTGGGGTCCATCAGTGTCTATGAGCTATTGAGGATGCAAAAATGAAAGATGGATCTAGAAGATTTCTCATTACTAGAGTTCCTTTCATTATTTTTTAAAAATCCAAATTTATCAAAATAATTTTCTTTTGTTATGTAAAAAATTTTCATTAGTGTCTTTAGTGTCTGTTTTTGGTAGTAACTAGAAACATTCCAGGACTGTCTGGCCCAAAAGTTAGTTATGACAGTAATATATTTGAAAAACAGTTTCTTTCATGATCCCCAGAGACTTACAACTAGGAAGAAAAGGATTTGTGCTGTTAGCTGAGCATGGTGACACAGGCCTATAATCCCAGCACTTGGGAGGTAGAGTTGGAGGATCACAGACATTCAAGGTTATTCAAGGTTATCCCTGGCTACTTAGATGAGTTTGAGGCCAGTCTAGGCTACAAGACACTATCTCAACAACAGCAACAAAGATGAACATCTCTTGAAGGACAGCAACATTTTCTATATCGCAACACTTCTTGGCAAACGTTGTATGAGTACATATATTAGTTCTTTATTTTTGAAAAATAAAACCTGATTTGCAGCAGAACCTTGAGAATTTCTGTCAGAATGATCATTCCTAAGTTTGGGAAGAACTACAGATGATTTTGAAGTGACAAGTCAAGGATTTGGGACTTTGCTCTTTATTCAGTTTTATAAAAATTATCTTCATTTCCACAGAAACTTTGCACAACTCTCATTGTGGCAGATGATGTAAGGTTTGACTGCCTTCTACCAGTTCCTAAAAAATGAGTACTCTGATAGCTAATGCAAAAAAAAACCCCTATGTAATGAACGCATTTTGTCTGTCTATACTTGGCTATGTGCTGATGCTCACTGGGGAAAGGGTGTGGGGAGATGAAATTGGATTTAAGACACCAGCAGAACCCCTTATGAAATCCATTGAAAACCATGGTAGAGTGGGGACTTAGGAAGCCATTGTTTTCTGGAATGTTGATGTGGCAGTAATGGGAGGTCATTAATAATGAAGGTCACGGAGGTCAAACTTGAAGTCTGAAACAGTGAGATCATGAATCAGGGTGTGAACAATGGGAGTACCACAAAGGATGAGACTCCAAGAAGCTTTGCAAACAGAATTTGCTGATAGAATGTATAGAAAGGAAAGGGGGAGGGGCTTAAGAATATTTAAGGAGCCTAGAGAAAAGGAGCTCTGTGATGGAAATGGAAAGTTTTGGAAGAAATGGCAGTTTTGTGGGGGAGAGGGTGCATATGGTTTATTCAGATACTGACCATGAAGAGACAGTTAGCAATCTAGAATGAACTCTGAGGTGAATTTCTGTCAGAAAGGTCAGATCTAAGAATCACCAAAATAGAAATTATAGAAGAATGGAAGTGACAAACTGGAGATGAGTGAATGAAGGAACTAGAAAGCACAGAGTGGGGGGGCTGAGGAGATGGCTCAGTTAGTACAGTGCTTGCAAGCATGAAGGCCTGCATTTGGATCCTCAGCACTGTAAGGGAAAAAAGTGCTGGGTGTAGTGGTGCACACCTTTAATTCCAGCACTAGGGTGGAGGAGACAGAAGGGTTTCTGGGACTCACTGGCCTGCCAGTGTAGCCAAATCAGCAAGCTCCAGGTTCAGTGAGAGACCCTGTCTCAAAATATGAAGTGGAGAGCAATTGAGGAAAATATCTGACATTGACTTCCTGCCTCCACATGCATATGTGCACACACACATGAATACACACACACACATAACACACACACACACACACACCCCAGAAATAGAGAAGAATGTTATTGTTGTTATTATGACTCTCTACTCTTGGGAACAGGGAAGAATGAGAGGAACAACCTGAGAAAATAAGGAAGGAGCAGGCAGAGTAAACCAGAGGGGAACCATGGGGTTCAGTATCTACGCATTTTCAGTAGATATAAAACTTATCCTGGCTTCAGATCTTCCCTCATACAGAAGAGGAAGGTCAGGATTCCTATTTCCATAGCTCTTGTGAGTGATATGCCCATAAGCAAACAACAGTCTTTTCTTCTAGAATATGAAGTCACATTATAAAATAGGTTTTTTAGGGGGCTGGAGAGATGGCTCAGTGGTTAAGAGCACTGACTGCTCTTGCAGAGGACCGGGTTTGATTCCTAGCACCCACATGGAGGCTACAAACCATTCTTAACTGCAGTTCCAGGGGAATCCGACACCCTCTTCTGACCTCCATGGCATTGCATGACATAGGTGCACTCATATACATGCAGGCAATACACTCATATACATAAAATTAAAATATCAAACAAAAAGTATTTTTAAAAAGAGAAAATACGGGCAGGAGAGATGACTCCGTGGTCAAGAACACTTGACTGTTCTTGCAGAAGTCTTGGATTTGAATCCCAGCACCCAATGGCAGCTAACAACTGTCCATAACTGCAGTTCCAGGGGATCCAACAGCCTCTTCTGTCCTCCGCGGGCATTGCATGACACGGGTGCACTTACCTACATGCAGGCAGTACACTCATACACATAAAAAATAAATAAATAAAATATTTTTCTAAAAAAGAAAATAGGTTTTTAAAAAGCTATCATGCTGCTGGGCATGGTGGCACATGCCTTTAATCCCAGCACTCAGGAGGCAGAGGCAGGGGGATCTCTGTGAGTTCAAGACCAGCTTGGTCTACATAGTGAGTTCCAGGACAGCTGGGGCTACAGGGAGACCCTGTCTCAAAAAGACAAAAAAAAAAAAAAAAAAAAAAAAAAAAAAAAAAAAAAAGCTATCGTGCCTTACTACAGGTATTGCTTTTCACCAACATTTCTTTCAACCATTAAAAAAATACGTCTACCCTTGTCTCTTGACCTTGTTCAAAGTAATGCAGAATGTCATCTCATTTTGTCTTGTAGGTACAGCAGTCTGGGAAAAATTCTCCAGTGTGAAAACATCTATAGAGAAGGTCAACACATTACTTGTTCCTTTAAACTCACTAAAGTGGATTCGAGTTTTGAACAGCACAGTGTTCAAATAATGGTCAAGGATAATGCAGGAAAAATTAGGCCATCTTTCAAAATAGTGCCTTTAACTTCCTGTGGTAAGTTTTAGAAGCCCTCCCTGATGGCATGGGTTAAAAAAGGGTGTCCTGTCTTTTGAATGTCAAAGTAAATAATTAAAGATGATAATTGTCTCTTTTAAGATCCCGAAGCAAGGGACTACATTTATTTGATAGTTGCTTTAAGGAGCAAGCTTTGAAATTCTACTTATGGAACACAGTTATCAGAGCCTTGGTTCTTGTTGATTTAGGAGCAGGCTAAAAGAAGGCAATTAGTTGTACAACCAAGATTGGAACACAGGTAGTCTGACTCTAAGATGTTTTTGTTATCACTTTGATACTCTGGAGGGGGGTGCTCATCTGATCATTTGGTTCCTGAATAATCTCTTAGTTAGAAAAAATCTTTAATCAGAGGCACTATCACCAGAGGTGTTATTAGACTTTATTCTGGAGAATGAACTTTGGACTTCATAAAGGCTAAGCAGTGCTCTACCACAGAACTCTACTAACCTCCATATTAAAATTATTTCATATTTTATATGGCACATGTAGTGGTTAATCAGAATAGCCAGGGTAGCCATATCTGACTAGACTGGCTGAATGTTGGCCTATTAGAGGCTTCAACTTGAACAACACATAGCTGATTGATGGCATAGTTCCTCCTCTTCTCAAGGCATATAGACCCTCTTTGAGTGTTTCCTTATCTGTAAAATGTAGTCCCTTTTGTTTTTTAATGTTATGTGTATGAGTATATTTTAAGTGCACCCGTGTCATGCAATACCTGCAGAGGTCAGAAGAGGGCGTTAAATCTCCTGAAACTGGAGTTACAGATGGTTGTTACCCACCATGTGCATGCTGGGAATCGAACCCGGCTCCTCTGCAAGAGCAGTCATTGCTCTTAAATGCTGAGCCATCTCTCCAGTACAGACTATGTAGTCCCTTTTGACCTCAAAGAATTGCTATAAAATCCAGTGACATAAGTTATATAAAAGCACTTTTAAAATTGCAAAATAACATGAGCATCCTGAATTTCTTGGTATAATAACCTAATAGGGAGCTCAGATTCTGGCTAAATGGTAAGTGGATGATTTATAGAAAAAGAAGCATCCTTTGACAAAGGCTTCCAAGTCTGTGAGCAGAGCTCTACTTACCACTCCCCCAGATAGTCCTAGAAGTCAGTTGTAGCAGGGGACCAAAGTTAGCCTGGTTGTTGTGGGCCAAGAGAGTGAGGTCAGGGTAGTTTGCCACATGGTGTTGACTGAAGCAAAGTTCTCTTCTTTCCTCTTGCTTGTTTGGCAGATTATCTTAGATTTTTAAGCTTTATATCGCTGTTCTTCATGGAATTAATGGTGACATAAAGGACAATCTTTCTTAGCCAGAAGATGACAGCTACATGTTTTCTAATAATTATCCATTATCTTCTGTTCCTGAGCCTTAAATATAATTGACTCTTGCAAAATTGACCTAACGCTTTCAAACATATATTTTATTTTTAATTGTGGTTATAATCATATAACATTAAGTTTACAGTCATCATTTAAGTGTACAGTACAGTAGTGTTAAGTATATTCCTATTGCTGTAAAACAGATTTCTATGAGTTTTTACCATGCAAAACTGAATTATGCCCATTAAACATTAATTTTCCTTCCCCACATCCCTTGAGGGAACTTTCTACTTTCTGTTTCTATGCATTTGATACTTTAGCATTTCATGTACGTAGACTCACAGTCTTTGTCCTTTTGAGATTAACTTATTTCACTTAACACATTGTTCTCAAAGTGTAGCCTGTGATGGAGACTCATGATAGTGTTTTTGGCATGATCTTGGATTTGCCATGAGTGAGGGGTAGCTGCAGATGCCTCTTGTACCTGGTAATTTGTTACCCATCTAGTGGAAGCAGTCTTGAACTAAGAACTTCTTTTACTTTATTCTTTATGTTGCATATAGATGTCCTGATTCCACCTTGGTCATTTTCTAATTAGATGCACATTAGAGTTCATGTCATCTACCAGACACCCCCAAAGATGTTCCTTAAATCCATTTTACTGAGCAGTTTTAAATACACTTACTCCACTAATTGTGGCTAATCAGAAATTCTAAAACTCTGTATCAGATCATGTGATGTCATTAAAAGCCATCAGCTCTATTTTGGTTTAACATTGTGAACCTTCATTATCCAGTGTACATATATAATCACATTTTATATACATATAATAAAATAAAATTTTGGAAACTAATTTTCTTTTTTCTATCTTTCAGTGAAACCTGGTCCTCCACATATTAAAAATCTCCTCTTCAAAAATGGTGCCTTATATGTGCAATGGAAGAATCCACAGAATTTTAGTAGTAGATGTTTATCTTATGAAGTGGAAGTCAATATCAGCCAGTCTGAGACACATGGCATTTTCTATGTAAGTTTTTTTTCACATTACAGATTTTCTTTGAAGATTTTTCTTTCACTTAAACTTTTTACATTAAAATATCAATAAAACGTAGCTCTTAACATTTGTCAGCAGGTCATGATGATAATGAAACTTGTTTGAAATAAGGCACAATGCAACATCTGCGGGTTTATGGTAGTATTTGCTGCAAGGTCTAAGTCATTTGTTAACTCATTTGCTCAAAAATTTATTGTCTGCCATGTCCTAGATATTTTTATTGAATTTTTGTGGATTTCATACAATACATCTTAATCATACTTAGGCACCCTTCCCTATCTGTACCCCCATAGCCCACCCGTAGTATTTCATGCATTCTGTCATATATGTTAAGTCCTATCGAGTCAAGTTTGTGTACTCAGATGTCCCTTGGTGAGAGTTCATCCACTGGAGCCTGTTCTGGCTGTCTAGCATCACTCCGTTAAAGAAGATCAACTCTGCCTCACCCAGCAGTGATCAGCTGCAGATAGTTCCTCAAGGTTAGGCTTCCTGCCTATTTCCCCAGTTCTATGCTGTTTTTTTGTTTTGCTTTTGTTTTGTTTTGTTTGGGGGGGCGGGGAGTCTTTTTGAGATATGGTCTCCCCGTTGCCCCAGCTAGCCTAGAACTCACTATATAGACCAGGCTAGCCTTGACTTCACAGAGATCTGCCTGCCTCTGCCTCCCGAGTGCTGGGATTAAAGGTTTGTGACACCATGCCCGGCCTATGCTGGTTTTGTCTGATTGAGTTTGCATGGGTCTTGTGCTTGCTGTCACCATCGCAGAAAGTTTGTATGAGCAACTTCCCAGGAGCCTGTCAGACTCTGTTTCCTTATGTTCATGCACCAACCCTGACTCTTACAATCTTTCCACCCCCTCTTCTGCAATGATCTCTGAGCCCTGGGCAGTGAGGTTTGATATTGGAATCCTATCCAGAGACATGCACTCTGCAGTCTCTTATTTTCTACACTTTAGACAGTTGTTGCCTTCTGTGTTCATCGCCCTCTGTTGCATGAAGAAACTTCACTGGTGAGAGTTGAGAGATGCCTTAGTATTCTCTTTACCCCCTGTTCTACTATGTTCCATGAGCCTTTGGCAAAATCCAATATGCATTTATGTTAAAAGGTTTTAGAGGGAATTAGACTGGATGGAACATACCTCAACATAATTAAAGCTATAGACAACAAAGCTACAGCCAACACCATTCTAAATGGAGAAAAACTGGAAGCATTCCCATTAAAATCAGGAACCAGACAAGGCTGCCCACTGCATGTTCCAAGCTTTTATTTACTACAGCTAAGGCACTGAAAGTGACACCTGATAAGCATATTTCTCTTTTTTTAATTCTTCATGAATATTACAGACTGAAAACACATATGCAAACAAGTAATCTAATTTCACAGTGTGAATGTTGTGAAGAAAATCAAATGGGCTGAGCCATAGAATGACTAGAAGTGATATTAGGTTGGGCAGTCATACAAAGTAAGGACATTTGAGTTAAAAGCAGAATGCTGAGCAGGAGCTATATTAGAAGGGTTAGAAGAGACAGCAGAAATAAAACCTAAATCAAGAATGAACTTAATACATGGAAAAATACGGAGAGGTAAGTGTGGCCAAAATATGGCATGAAACATATCTAAACAGTAAGCACAGATCAAATCACAGATGTGTAGAAGCTCTGGTAAGGTCATCCCACTTCTTTGGCATTTGTGGCAAGGCATTTAGGCAAATTTTAATATCAGTATTTGTTGGATTATGTACATGGCTGCTGTCCAAAAACAAATACAAAACATGCAAGTTAGAGGTCCCTGTAGGGCCTTCACCAGAGTATGGTGTAACCTTAGGGCATTAGTCCCAGTGTTTCATTTAGAGCTTTACACATTTTTATGAGCTGGCAAAATGGCTCAGTGGATAAAGGCACTTGCTACCAAGCCTAATGACTTAAATTTGGTCTCTGGAACCTACATGTTGGAAGGGGAGAATAGACTCCTGCAAATTGTCCTCTGACCTCCACATGCATGGAGAGATGGAGGGAGGATAGGAGGGAAGGAGGGAGGGAGGAATAGAAAGAAAGAAAGAAAGAAAGAAAGAAAGAAAGAAAGAAAGAAAGAAAGAAAGAAAGAAAGAAAGAAAGAAAGAAAGAAAGAAAGAAAGAAAGAAAGAAAGAAAGAAGGAAAGGTGGGCACATATTTCCATAAGGTGGCGCCTCAAGACCACGGAGACTGTACCACTCACTTGTTTGCTACCTGCCTGATTGTCCTTTGTGCATTTGAGATTTAGAAGTTACATGTAAAACGTGTTACCTTGGCATTTAAAGGAGCCCAGCATCTGGGCAAATTTCAGAGTCCAGTTTTAACTCATCATGGAACTTTCAAAATACTTGCTAAAATAAGCCAGTATTGACAGACTATAACTCCACAGAGAGTAACTAGGTCCACAGCAGAACAGTGTTCTTCTGGGCATTTGCAGATGAAACTGTCTGCTGAGATACAGTCATTGTTATTATCAGAAAGTATGGTATCCCCATGAAGTACCAAACAGGGCAAAAGGAAACGATTTCCATGTGAGGAGGAGATGATGCTTAGATTGACAACATGGTGAGTTATCAGCTGAAATATTATTGATCACTTCAGTCTTTACTCTTTCCTGGTGCTTCTGTATGAAATCCTGAAACATGTACTGCTTCTATTAATTCATTTGGCCACTCAGTTATGCTCTGCTATTTAAAATCTGATCACCTTTGTGCCTCTTCTGTCCACTGAAAGTATGAACTCCTTTGAGCAGCAGGCATGAGTAGTGTCTGCTTTGTTCTGTTCTTGGTTCTAATAGCAACATACCTATACTGAATGGTTACTATACAGTAGATAAATTATTAGTAAGTACCTTGTCTGAATTATCTGATTTAGAGCTCACACTAACCTTGAGGATCTGTGTTCTGTTATATGGTCCCTGTTTGGGGTTTTGTTTGTTTGTTTGTTTTTTTGGTCTTTTTGAGACAGGGTCTCCCTGTAGCCCAAGCTGTCCTGGAAGGAACTCACTATGTAGACCAGGCTGGCCTTGAACTCACAGAGATCTGCCTACCTCTGCCTCCTAAGTGCTAGGATTAAAGGCGTGCACCACCATGCCCAGCATATGGTCCCTGTCTTACAATAAGAAATCTCAACTACATCTAAGCCACATATCTAGTAAAAGGTAAAATCATGATTTAAGCAAAGTTCTTAAAGTTTGTATTTTTAATCTCTGGAGACCACTTTAGTAGTTCTCTTAATATCTTAATAGTAAGGCCGGGTGTGGTGGCGTACGCTTTTAGTCCCAGCACTCAGCAGGCAGAGGCAGGCAGATCTCTGTGAGTTGAAGGCCAGCCTGGTCTACATAGTGAGTTCCAGGACAGCTGGTGCTACAGGGAGACCCTGTCTCAAAAAGACCCCAAAAAATCTTAATAGTAATAATTACCAATTATCAACTGTAGGATGTGCTCTTTTATGGGCTTCTGATGAAATAGCTCATAACAACCCATAAAATTGGTATTATTGGAGCACACTTCTTTTTGAGAAACTAAGGCTGAAGGGAGATTTGATAACTTTCACACAGCTAATAAGTCAGTATGGCCTCAAAGGTTAGTCTCTTGTGTATTCAATTTTGACCAAGATTACTTGCTGTAACACCATATACATAATCATCACTAAATAGGGCTAGGGTTATAGCTCAGTGGTAGAGCACTTTCTTAGTATGCATGAAGTCCTGGGTTCAATCCCCACAACCTAAATAAAACCACTCAATAAAATCTTATTGGTCTTTTTGAGACAGGGTCTCCCTCTAGCCCCAGGTGTCCTGGAACTCGCTTTGTAGACCATTTTTTAACTTTGGAACTAAAGAAACCATACACACCATGGAAGTTATATACTTAATTCAGAACTATAGTCTGTTTGGAATTGACTCTGTTTATATACTTGAGTTTAATGTTTTCTCCAAGCAGATGTTCACCAGCTGCTTTTTCTTCTAAAATGTCAACAGCTCTGTGTGCTGACTAATTTTGAGCTTTGCTGATTAGACCATTCTTTTTCTTTTTGTAAGGCTATTTAAGGAGTTATTTTGTTGGAGTTACAGTTCAGGGGTAGGCAAACTGGATCATGAACTTGTACCATCATATGGGGCTGTGGTCAGAGGTAACGTACAACAGACTCATGAAATAATTATTTTCGTACACTCACCCCATCCCTGAAAACTTGGTGCTCTATGCCCTTGTTTTCCTCCTCTCACAGGTACCTGAGTAGCTGATAATCAATGCATGAGTATTTACGTTTGAATAAGAGCCTAGACCTAAATCTACATAAAGATTTGCTAACTTTGGCATTTGTATGTTTGGGAAATAGTCTAGGAAAGACATGACATCAGTCTGCCGCTTGATCCCTCAAGTGGTACTTGACATTTTGATTCCCCAGCAGGCCAATGGTTGTAGCGAAGAACACTGCAGCCACCTGAGTGGCTTTTTCACTGACCTTGTGTGAAATATTGAAAAGATGGTCTTTCCTCATTCTGTTGGCCTTTCAGCTCTTTAGAAATGCTGGTGTAGACCATTTAGTGAATGACATTGAATGCCAAAATTAACAGTGATGTGTCTTTGTTCCAAGCAATAGATTTTCATGCTGGATTTTTCACTATTTTTGAAAAACTCAGATTTAAGGAACAGGTGATCTTTTCTACATCAAAAAGCAGGTGACTTATATTGGGTGAAGGAGAATTTTGCATTATATCTTCTTTTCTCAAAACTAGTCATTTTTTATCTTATGTTCTCAAAAAGAAAGATTAGTATGTCTTTCTTTTTCTCTTTGTGTCTCTGTCTCTCTCTCTCTGTGTCTCCCCACTCCCCTCTTCTCGCTCTCAAAACTCTTTGGTGATATATAATTCACTCTACAAAAAATACATAAGCCTTAATGTATAACTGTATAACTCAATGATTTTTTTCTTTTTCATTTTCATTAAGTGTTCCGTAACATACTGCATGCTATACAATATATTATGTAGCCTTTTGGTGGGACTAGATGAGCATGCTGAGTTAGTTTCCTCTTCAGTCAGGAAAATCCTTCCTTAATCAATGTTCTTCAAGCCCCTGGACAGTAGTAGCTATTGACTCCAGAGACACGCCTATCTTATTCCACCAAAGCCCATTGATAATGGAAATTGGGCAATTCTTTTTTCCTTGCCCCCCCCCACCCTTACTGAACTTGTGGATGTACGCAGTGGCCACTCCGGGGATTATCAGGCACACGCCCATGATGGCGAAGCCTGGGAAATTTCAAACCACATCTCCGCACAGTGAAACACAACTCAAACCCTATCTTTCGGATCCTCAAAGGTGACCCGGTTCTGCCACCTTTCCCGGTGAGCTCCTATAACTCAATGACTTTTTACAAATGCTTTTTTTTAGTATTTTGGAGACAAGGTTGCAGTAGCTGGTCTCAAGCTCACTATGTAGCTGAATCTGGCCTTGAACTCCTGATCTTCCTGCCTTTGCCTTCCAAGTATTGAAATTATAGGCACATGCCACATAAACAGCTTCAAAAATGATTTTTACAAATCACATTTTCCTATGTAGCCAGAACTCTAGAAGCCCCTCACATCCCTTCCAGTTGTTATACTCCCAAGGAGCCACTACTATCTTGACTTCTAATCTCATAGGCTTGTTTCGTTGCTACTATTAAAACTTTCTCAGACATGGGAGCCATGTCTATAGTCCCAGCCACTTGGGAGGCTGAGACAGAATAGCTTAAGCTTAGGGATTTGAGATCAATCTGGTCAGTTTCTGCCACCATAGAAAAATAAATAAAAACTTTCCATAAGTGAAATTATATAGAAAATATTTGTAAGGCATCTATGATCACCATTATACCATCAGCACCAGAACATAGTTTTTGTGGGTCTGCCTTCTTTCATTCAACATAATGTTTATGAGATTCTCCAATATTGTTTCCTATAGCCTAGATGGTTCATTCTCGTTCTATGCATCCCATTGTGTGTTATCACTTTGCATTTGCGGATTATCTCACTAACTTGGGACAGTTTTCAGTTACGGCTATTATGAACAGAGTTTTACCAACATTTGCATACCTGTCTCCTGGTGCACAAGTGCCTACCTTTCTGTTGACCAGATGTAGATCAAAGGGTTATACATGATTGGCTCTAGTAGAAAATGACAGTTTTCCCAAATGTGTGTGCCAGTCTACACATTGAGCAGAAATTGAGAGTTATAGATGCCTCATGTCCTCATCAACACTTGGTATTGTCTGGAAGGTGTGTATATTGTTATCTCATGGCTGTAATTTGCATTTCCCAGATGACCAATGAAGTTCAGCACTTTTTCATGTTTACTGACCATGTGTGTAATTTCTTGTGAAATGCCTGTTCAAGTCTTTTGCCAGTTCTCCTACTGAGCTGGCTTTTATTGATTTGTAAAGAACAAATGTGTTCTTATCCTTTGTTGGAAATTACATATATATTCTCCCCTTTTCTGTATTGCCTGCTTTTTTCCCTAATAGAGTATCATTTGACAAATGTAAGTTTTTAGTTTATTATAGACCACTTCATAACTTTTTTGTTTTGATTATCTTGGTGCTGTTGAAGAAATCTTTTCTTCTTTCAAAAGTCATGGAGGTGTCCTAGATGTTCATCTCAAACCTTGTTATGTTTTTATATTCATTTTTTTCCATTTCACTTGTGTGTGTGTATATGTTGGTGCATGTGTGTGGGTATAGGTATGTGCGAATGCACATGCATGTGCACATGTGTGTGGAGTTTTGAAGTTGACATTGGGAATCATCCTAGATCGGACTTCTACCTTATTCATTGAGGCAAAATCTCTCAGTCAAACCTAGAGTTCACTTATATGACTAGTCTCACTAGCCAGCTTGCTCTGGGGATCCCCTATCTCTACCTTCCAAGGCTGGAATTATAGGTGTCTGCCACACTTTCCCACCCAGTCAGCATTTATGTGGGTTCTGGGGATCTGAATGCCAGTCCTTATGCTTGTGTGGTGAGCACTTAACCATTGAGCCACTTCCCCAATGCCCTTGTACATTTATTTCACTTTCCATATTTAGTTATTCAGCGTACTTAAAATTGGTCTTGGTAACAGTGTAAGGTAAAGGGTGAGATTTTTATTCTCATGGGGATCTGTAATTGACCAAGCACCACTTGTTTAAAAGATCAACATTATAGGAGTCCTGTCCAAGGACTCACACTATGCAGACTCTTAATTCTGTATGCTTTGGCCATTTGTGGTCCTTTGTGTTCATTGCCCTCTGTTGCATGAGAGAGCTTCACTGATGAGAGTTGAGAGATGCATTGGTACCACTTGTTCCACTATGTTTCTGTGAGCCTTAGGTGTAGTGATTCCATTGTAGATGTATATTAAACTTCACCCACCCAGGGGTCAGGGACCATTGTGGAAGAGATGGCAGAAACCGTTTAAGAATCAGGGGAGGAGGTGCATGACCATATGGAAATAGACCTTTACAGGCTCCTGGGACCTTGCTCATATGAACTTATAGCAATGGCGACAGCATGCACAAGACTCATGCAAACTCAAGCAGACAAAAACCCAGCATAGAATTGAGGAAATGGGTAGCAGGCCCCAGTCTTAGCCAAAGAACTGTTGTGCAGCTGATGGGTGAAGAAGCTGATGGGTGAAGAAGAGCTGATCTTCTTTAAGGGAGTGACTCTAGAGAGCTGACTAGATCCCAGTGGATGAACTTGCACTGCGGGGCATCTGGGGACATTAACTTCACTTGCTAGGCCTTACCATAAACAACCGAATTCATGAAATCCAGTAAGGGGGTGCTATGGAAGGGTGCTGATGGGAAAGGGGGTATAAAGATGATTAAGATGTTGTGTTTGAAATACACAAAATTTCAATAAAAATATACAAAAGGATCAATGTTCTCCCCATTGTACATAGTCCTCTTTTAATGGGATAAAAGGAAAGCTTGTTAGAAAAGAGTAAATGACATAATTTTTTAAAATTTTGGAACTATTTTTTTTTGCTTTCAAGGTTGAAGAGGACAAATGCCAGAATTCAGAATCTGACAGAAATGCAGAGGTCAGTAAATTCAACTTTAGCTGTTGGGCTTGGACTCCAAGTAACCAGGGTGGGGCAGGCCAAGCACAGTGTAAATTTGAACTGCTTGGTGGAAAAAAAACTGTTTTGTTCTGTGAATTATTGCCAATTTTTTTCCAGAAGTCAAAGTCAGATAATTTGATGTAATCCAAGTTTTAATCACATATAGAATTTGGCCAATAATTATACTATGATTCAATAGCAGAGCTAAAGAAAATAAACTGATAATATTATTTGTGCATTTCTATTTTATTTCTAAGGGTTCAACTTGTTTCATAGTCCCTGGTGTTCCTCCTGATACTTTCTACAAAGTCAGAGTAAGAGTCAAAACAAATAAGTTATGCTTTGATGATAATCACCTCTGGAGTAATTGGAGTCAAGCAGAGTGTATAGGTAAGAGGAGAGGATTCCGTTACAATGTAAAACACTGGTTGCTGGAAACTAAACTGAAGCAGAAAATAGATTAGGAAAACTGCTGTCATGCTTTTAGGCTGCCAGAGAGTACTTACAATTAACATTTCCCATTTAATTACTATCAAATCACCCAGGGCTAATTGATAACACACAGCTCTTTGGAAAACCACAATCCACATGGTATTAGCCTCACCTCTGCACCATCTACATCTTTATTAGAAACCTGAACAAACAGAAGGCAAGCATGATCAAATCTTCAGCTTGTGCCATGCTAGAGTACTGTCCTGTATGCTAGATGATAGATCAAGAGGAGAGTGACAAGCTTGGTGGTTATTTAATAGGGGTACATCTGTATCTAGGTTTGGGAAAAAATAATTGTTAGTGGCTATGCTGAGCAAGCCAGGCTCAAGTAACGGATGGAAAACCTGGCCTAAATGTGTGTGTGTGTGTGTGTGTGTGTGTGTGTGTGTGTGTGTGTGTGGTGAAGTTGAGTATACGGCTTTACTTCACTTTAAGTTCAATAAAACTTAATGCCTATGAGGCATAGATAGTCTTGGATAGCAGTGCTGGTACAGCTCACAGATCAAGACACTGCAGGAGGGTGGGGCAGAGTGGTCCAGTCACATAGAAAGCGTGCAGTAAGGCTGAGGAGATCACTGAGTTGGTAAAGTGCTTGCTTGTAAGTATGAGGACCCGAGTTCAATCCCCAGTACCCACTTACAAAAAGTTGGTCATGGTGATATGCACTTGTAATCCCAGTACTGCGGAGGTAGAGGATTTCTGGGGCTTGCTAGCTAGCTAGTCTAGCTAACCAGTGAACTCCAGGTTCACTGAGAGACTCTGTCTTAGAAAGTAAGATAGAGGCCAGGCCTGGTGGCACATGCCTTTAATTCCAGCATTCTGGAGGCAGAAGCAGGCAGATCTCTATAAGATTGAGGCTAGCCTAGTCTGCATAGTGAGTTCCATGCCAACTGTGGCTACAGGGAGAACCTGTCTCAAAAAGACCAAAAGAAAAAAAAGATAGAAAACAATAGAGTAAGACACCTGATGTCTACCTCTGGCCTTCATACAAATGCATGCACATGCACAGACATGTGCACGCACACATAAGAAGTATGTAGCATTCCATGTGGAGTACAACTTAGGAAATGCATTGGTTTACTGGAATCTGTCATTGAAGGGATAATTAGGATGTTAAAACTTGATAAGAAACTGTTGAAATAACTTTGAGAAGGCATAATGTTGAATTCTAACATTTAGAGCATTGCCAAGTAGAAGAGGATGTAGCTTTGCCTTTTGGTGGTCACTGGGGCCAAAAGAGAACCAATATAAGACCTTTTTGAGTAGCTGTCTGAGAGTCAGAGGAATGGGAAGACAGTATATGGGTTCCAGTTCAGGGGCTATGGGAGGGTGCCGGTGGGGATGGGGGTATAAAGATAAGATTCTTTGAGGTATTCTGTATAAAATACACAAAAAAATCAATAAAAAATAAATCATTTTTAATACTTTCTGAAACAATATATCCTGATTGCAAATAATCTTTAAGGTATTTAGTCGTCTAGAAAGCTCAGACACAAGAGCAGGATATTTTTTCAAACTATTATGATAACAAGATAAGATAATTGAAGAATTTGGGGGAAAATGGGTTAGGTGTCGGAAAGAATATCTGTGATCTCATGAACTAGTTGCCTAATTCATTACTAAAAGAGTTTTTAGTTCTCATGTCTTCCTGCTTACTCTCCATTCTGTAGGCAAGGAGCCCAACTCCACATTCTACATAACCATGTTACTCACCATTCCAGTCATCGTTGCAGGAGCAATCATAGTCCTCCTGCTTTACCTGAAGAGGTAAGCCATGGACTCAGGCAGATTTTACGATTTCTGCTAGCCTGGTTGTTATAGTTACTACTGTTCATGCTGGGGTATTGTGTTTACCTAGTTTTTTATACAGTCATGATCATACATGATTTCTGCTGGTATGACATGGCAAATAATTGTTGTCGTGCCCCATTTTCTAGTGAAGAATGCATCGGGTTGTTTTCTTCCACCTCCTCAAGCACTGCTCCTTGTGGAAATGTTGAACGTGGCTGATTAGGTTCTTTTCTGTGTTAATTTACTCTTTTCAGTTCCTAATTTATCAACAGTTAGTTGGTAGCTCTTGGAATGAAGTTTTAGAAATATGGGCTGAAGGGGGCCTGGCAAGATGGTTCATCAGGTAAAGGCACTTGCCACACAAGCCTGGTAATTGGAGTTTGGTCCCCAGAACCCATGTAAAGATGGAAAGAGAGAACTACTTCCACCAAATTGTTCTTTGTAACCTCTACATGTGCACTGTGGCAAGTGTGCACATACATCTCATATACGTACACAATTAAAAAATGGGGACTGGAGGTGAAGATCAGTGGTAGGACATATAGTTAAGCATGCTTGAGAATCTGGGTTTATTTCCCAGCACCAAAAAGAAAAAGAACATGAGAAATGAAATCCAATTCTAATGTAATGATTTGTCCTGTTGCTTAATGCCACAGGAAAGAGAACTTCACCGGGTTATCCCTAATATGTGAAACTTATTCTTTAAGAGTGTTTTATCACTGAGCATGGTGGTATAATCCTAATGCTTGGGAGGTGGAGGCAAGAAATCAGAAGTTCAAGGTCATTTTCATCTATACAGTGAACTCGAGGACAGCCTTGGCTACATGAGACTGTGTCAAAAAACATTTTTTTATTTTATCTGTATCAGTGTAGAGATGGTTACTGCTCTTGCAGTAAATATATAAGGTTGGAATAACACAATTTAACTGTGTCTAGAACCAATATTTTATCATTATTTCAATATTATATGTTGGATATCTATTTGTATTCTAGCACTATTCTAAGTACTGGGCTTATGACAGTAAGTAGAACACAGTACCTATCCACCTTTTAGTGGAGATGGTACACACACATAGTAGGAAGTCAGGTTGTCTGGAAGTGGAGCTAAGCAGTGACAGATTCATTTTATATAGGATGGCCAGAGAAGTCCTGTGAGAAGATGATTATTTGAGGAAAGACTCATAAATAAAGGTGTGAGCCATTCAGATATTCAAGCAGAGACTATCCCAGGCTAAGGGAACAGCAAATATAAAGGTCCTGGGGTCAGAATGAACTTACCATGTGTGGTTGGAAGAGAGGGAACAAGGGAGAGAGTGACCAGACATGAGGCTGGAGAAGCTGGCAGATAGGATCAGGCAGGCCATGGCAAAGAACTGAGGTTTTTTTTGGTTTTGAGACACGGTCTTCCTGCAGCTGCAGCTGTCCTGGAACTCAGTATGTAGACCAGGCTGGCCTTGAACTCACAGAAAACTGCCTGCTTCTGCCTCCTGAGTGCTAGGATTAAAGGCGTGTACCACCACGCCCGCAGAACTGAGATTTTTATCCCAAGCAAGATAGGAGCCTTGGAGAAGGCATACTCCCTCTGCTGAGAGTGCTCCAAGGGCCCTATCACCGTCACTACTGAATGAAGACTTGATTTGGGCAAGAATGGAAGCAGGTGGATTAGTTAGGAGGCATCACAGTGTTTGGGAAGAAGAGTGAAAGCAGACTGTACTAGAGAGTTAGCAATGGAGGAAGGAAGAAGTGGCCAGATACATATGGGATATATTTTGAAAGCCCAAAATGACAAGACTTGCTGATGGCTGATTGCTTGTAGAGGTACAGGGATATTGAAGATTCTAGAATTTGGGTTTGAACAGCTGCCTGTCAAGTGACATTTCCCAAGACAGAGAAGACTATGAGGAGAGCTACCTTTGAGAGAAAAGGTGAAGGTTTAAGTTTTGAACCCATTGTTTGAGATGCCTATTTAGGTATCCAAGTAGACATGTGAAATAGGCCACTGCAGGTATGGGTCTAGAGTTTAAGAAAGGTCTTTAAGATGGAGATAGAATGTTGTGAGTCCTTTAAGATGAAGATAGAATGTTGGGAGTCCTGTCATGTAATAGGTTTAAAAAGACTGAAAGAGCACTTATAAGGTAAATGAGATACAGGAAAGAGAGGAGGGCAGAAGACAAAACCATGCACTACACCTGAGGGCACGCCCTGAGGGCACGCTCTGAGATCCCAGACAGGCCCATCAACAGAGAGAGAAAATTTAAAACTGGAGAGGAAGGCGATGAGTCTGAGGATATGACTAGGTGGTAGCTTATTTACCTAATATGTGTATCACTAGTACTGCAAAAATAAATAAATAAACAAACAAACAAACAAATAAATAAATAAATAAGGGGCTGGAGAGATAGCTAAGCAGTTAAGAGTACTGGCTGCTCTTGCAGAAGATGGAGGTTCAGTTCCTAGCACCCACATGGTGGCTTACAACCATCTGTAACTCCAATTTCAGGGGATCATGACTCCCTCTTCTGGCCTCTGTGTACATTGCACAGCATGGGTACACTTACACACAGGCAAAACATTCATACACATAAAATAAATAGAAATAAATAAAAAATTAAATAAGGGAGAGGAGAAGAAGAAAGGAAAATATTGACAGATTTTTGGGTGGGTATAATGGTACATGCCTGTAATCTCAGAACTTGGCAGGAGGATCAGGAGTTGAAGGTCAGCCTCATCTACATAGCAAGTTTGAAATCAGCTTGGGCTACACTGAAAAAAAAATTTCTGTCTTTTGTTTGGTGGTACTAGGTATTGAACTTAGGGCCTCTCACATGTTATAGGCAAGCACTATAACCACAAAACTATATCCCTAGCTCACTTCTTAGTTTTTATTTTGAGAAATGATCTCACTAAATTACTCAGGCTAACCTTGAACTCTGCAATCCTCCTGCTGCAGGCTCCTGAATAGCTTCAATTACAGGCCTGTGTCACTAGTGTCAGATTCTTTTCCTCAAAACTATAAAAAGCAAGTTCCCTTCCTTCTTGTCTACTAAAGTATTGCCCCATTGTTTTTTGAGTGATAGAAGCAATTTGCTTATGTTGGTGTCTCATTTACTCCATCCAAACTTGGTGCACTTAGGACACCTATTTCCCATAGGTCTCTAAACATGTCTTTCACAATTGCCTCATTACTAAAGGTGACTGGTGTATTGTGATTTCTGTACATGGCTTCTTTCAATATGGCTGTATTTTTGTGAGACATTGGTATACCCTTGAAGGTTTGATCTAAAAAGGTCTATGTTTTCTTAAAGGCTGAAGATCATTATATTTCCTCCAATTCCTGATCCTGGTAAAATCTTTAAAGAAATGTTTGGAGACCAAAATGATGACACCCTGGTAAGCACTGACTCCATTTGAGTTTGAAATGGCTTGTTTTTCTAAAAAAATATTTTGGGAAAAAATATTTTGAAGAGGGTGAGATTTTGAAAATTTATAGTTAGCATAGCAAAAATTGACCATTTTAACCATTTAAGTATGTATGTAGTTCAGTATATTAATATATTTAAATACATTTACAGTGTTCTGCAACCACCACCACCAGAACTTGTTCATCATCCTCAATGGAACCTGTGCTCATTAAACCATAATTTCCCATTTCCTAATCCCTTGCCCTTGGCAACCACTATGCTACATTCTATTTGGTGAGCCTTTCTATTCTAGGTATCTTTTATATGTGTAATCATGCACTATCTGTCCTTTTGAGTCTGGATTAGTTTACTTAGCGTCATGTTTTCATGGTTTATTACATTGTAATATGCATCAGACTTTCTATTTAAAATTGCTCTGTGTGTGTGTGTGTGTGTGTGTGTGTGTGTGTGTGTGTGTGTAAGGGGGGCAGACACAGGGACAGAGAGGTACCTATGGGGAGTATACATGCTGAGGCTAGAGGAGGATGTTGAGTGCTCTGTTCTATTAATTTCTGCCTTATTCCTTTAAGACAGGACCTCTCATTAAACCTAGAGTTAGGCTGGCAGCCAGCAAGTTCCAGCAATCCTCTTATTCCCCTCCCTCCACAGTGTCAAGGTTATAGGCATGAGCAACCATGTCCAGTTTTTACAAAGATGCTGAGGATTCAAATTCAGGTCATCATTTTTACAGAGCAAACAATCTTATCCAATGAGCCATCTCCACAAACCAACATTGGTTATCTAAAAAATTTTATCTAAAAGATTAAAGAGTTGACTTAAGATGTTATATATACTTCAGGCCAAACAGATCAGCTAGGAAACCCCCAAAATACTTTGTTTCAGATCACTGGGCTCTATCCTCTTTCTAAGGTATGAGATACTTTATCCAGACATGCAGAAGGAAGAGCTTCTTTTAAGAAGCTAACCTAACAGACAGGCCTTTGACTTTTAGATGCTTTTTAAATTTTGATAAGGGAAATATAGATAGGATAAACAATTAAGATGCACTTTGTTCACACAATTTCATTAGAAAGCCAGACTCCAGGCACATAGAGAACAGACTCACCTCAGCTGTCAGTTTCCTGCAGACTCTCATGCTAGAATCTGTGGCTAGAAACTTAAGATGTGTGAGCAAAGGAATTTGAGGTTTCTATGAACATGCATTAGCTCTAATAAGATAATGAAGACCCTGGAAGAATAAATATTAATGCCACTGTATATAGTTTAAATTAGTAATAACGGGCACAGGGCAGTTAATTTAGGGAAGCAGCACAGCAGACTAGATAATAGCCTGGGTTCTGGAGTCAGATTGTCTGGATTCAAATCTCCACTGTGTCATTCACTGTCTTTTTGAACTTAGATAACTTGCTTAGCCTTTCTATGACTCAATTTTCCCATTTATAAAGTAGTAATAGCAATTGCACCAGCCTTAGTGTTGTCCTGTGGATTTAATTAATTTAGTGCACAATAACAATAGGAACTGGTTAGCATGCCTGACAGTTTCAAAGTGCTTAATATGTGTTAGCAGTGAGTAGTACTTTCAATAATAATATCTATGGTGGTTTGAATGAGAATGTCACCCATACACTCCAAATATTTGGACATTTTTTCCCCAGTTGGTGGTGCTGTTTTGGGAAGTCTTAGAAGGTGTGGCCATACTGGAGGAAGCACGTTACTGAGGGTGGGCTTGGAGCATTCTTAAGCCTTGCTGGATCTCTAGTTGCTCTGTTTGCCATGCCTGCTTGAAGATGTGAGCCCTTAGCTTCTGCTCCTACTCCAACCACCTCTGCTACCATGCCTCCCTTGCCATGATGCACTCTTGCCCCTTTGGAACTGTAAGCTAAATAAACTCTTCCTTTCATAAGTTCTCTTGGTCATGGTATTTCTATCACAGCAACAGAAAAGTGACAGATACAGTATCTGTTTATATTTCATACTTGTAATAATAGGTGACTCATAATGGCGGTGATGCTATTCAGCTAGGAACAGAGAGCAGGGACGCTGACAGCCCATCAGAGGTGTCTTAGCTTTCTCTTGTGATAAAACACTGACCAACACCAACTTAGGAAAAGGGTTTATTTCACCTTCCGCTTACAGTTCATCATGGAGAGAAGACCAGGCAGGAGCTCAGGGCAGGAACCAAAGTACAGACCATGGAGGAATGCTGCTTATTGGCTTACTCCCCTGGATTGCTCCCAGCCTGCTTTCTTATATAACTCTTGACCACCTCCCCAGGGGTGGCACCACCCTCAGTGGGCTGAGCCCTTCCATATCACTCACCAGTCAAGAACATGCCCCCACAAACATGGCCACAGTCCAATCCAATCTAGGAAATCCCTCAATTCAGGTTCCCTCTACCCAGGTGTGTCAAGCTGCCAACTGAAGCTATCCAGCACAGAAGGGTTCTCTGGAGCATTTTTTTAAATTTTTCATTATTTTTATTTTATGTGTGAGTGTATTGCCTGCATGTATGTAAGTGTACCATGTCATGCAATACTTTGGAGGTCAGAAGAAGGTGTCGGATTCCCCTATAACTGGAGTTACAGACAGTTGTCAGATGCCATGTGAGTACTGGGAATCAAACCCCAGTCTTCTGTAAGAGCAGCCAGTGCTCTTAACTACTGAGCCATCTCTCCAGTCCCTAAAGCATTTTTTACCAGACCCCTTTCATAGACAGTGGGTAATGGACAAGCCCTGGGAGATAGGACATAGGTCTAGAAGTCATACATGAGAGGTTGCACTACACTGGTGAGGTTGAGTGTAGCAACTAGTGGTCCTTCCACTTTGAGTCATAATCAACTGGAGTTCTTACAAGAAGTACAGTTTCCTGGTCCCTGCCTCCAGAAGTCTTGTCAGCAGATCAGGAGTGAATCCCTAAAATCTAAGTTTTTAACAGGAGTCTGTAGGTGATGCCTATCCTGGTAAAATAAGCTGTATGCTACACTTTAAAAATCATTCTTACAGGTATTTTCCTTAGAATTACTACATGGCTTTGTTCATTTAATCAGCTACTCTAGTAGATACTGGGTTTGGAACAGTGCAAGTGCTATAACTACTCTAAGCAGTTATTGAAAGTCCAATGTATGTCAGGCAGGGTAATGAGTGCTTGGCTTATGTTACCTTATTGAATTTTTTTTTGGTCTTTTTGAGACAGGGTCTCCCTGTAGCCCCAGCTTGCCTGGAACTCACTATGTAGACCAGGCTGGCCTTGAGCTCGCAGAGATCCACCTGCCTCTGGTAGGATCAAAGGTGTGCGCAGCCACCACCACCACCACCCTATAATGTAGGTGCTTGTGATGGTTAGTATTGTTACTGTGAGAGAATCTAGAATCATCTGAGAGATAGGCCTTTGAGCATGCCTGTGGGGGATTAACTTGTTTCTATTAATAGACATGAGAAGGCCCATCTAAAATGTGGATTGGACCATGTTGTGCGCAGGGGATCCTGGACTGTATAAAGTGGAGAAAGCAAGCTGAGCACTAGCATGCATTGATTTCTCTGTTTCCTGTTTATGGATGTGAGGCGACAAGCTACTTCAAGTTCCTGCTGCTTTGTTTTTCCTGCCATGATGAACTCTACCTTGAGCTATTAAATAAATCCTTTTTGGCTTAAGTTGCTTTAGTCAAGAGTATTTTCTCACAGCAATGAGCAAGTAACTGAGACAGTGCTGTTAGTATCATATGAGGAAATAGAGACTCAGTGAGGTCTAATAGCTTTGTAATAATCACACAGCTAATTGGTGGTAAGAATTGACCTAGAATTGTGATTTTGGAGTTGTCTTGATCTTTTTCCTATGCTTCATTACTTCCTGTATGAGTGAATGCTTTTCCTCAAGGACCTCATAGTCTTCTACAGGGTCTCTTTGACAGAAGGAAAGGGTTGGGATAAAGGAGTTCTGAGAAGACTTTGGGTCATATTATGAATAGCTTGCAGTGCAAAGGTATAGGGTATCAGGAATATCACTCTGAAAGTAGTCTAGGGGAGTGGATTAAAGAGGAAGCACAGGCTTGACAGCAAACTGGGAAGTTGACCTGACTTGCCCCATTAGATGTTTTATTTAGCCAGTGTGACTTAAAATCTTTCCATTTGGAATTGTAGGCAAGGCATGTACTCTCCCATTTCCCTCTCACCCTGCCATTCTCAGTTCCCACTGTGCTTTCACATGGTGGCCTAAGTGCTAGACCACAGAATGACATTTGAGTTTGCTCTTCTTAGCAGGACGGAGACTAGTTAAAATGGCACGATGCCAATGCCCATTGTCTGTGTGCAAATACACAGGGCATGCCAGCCAACATATTGATGAGCTATATAAATTTTCAGCCTAATCCATTTCTAAAAAGAGACAATATCTAGTTCTTAACAAGTACATGAGGAAGTGTCGTTTGTCATGCAGTGCTAGTGATCCCACAAAAGGGTATACAAGTGAGTGCCCCTTGTCTGGAATGCCTGGAATCAGAAGTAGTTCAGATTTTGGAGGTTTGGAGAGTTAGGAATATTTGCACAAACTTTACTGGTTAAGCAGACTTGATCTGAAAATCTGAGATCCAATATCCAGAACTCTTTAAGAATCATAACAATACACAAAAACTTTCAGATTTTGGAGCATTTCATACCTTGGGTTTTTGAATTAGGGATGTTTATCCTATATATCCTTTGTGGACACAACCTGGTAAAATGTAACAAGCATCTTTTCTCCTGTAAATGATATACTTGGAAATAGATGTTTAAGAAATAACCAGACAATGGCACAAGAACTATAAACCCATCATTATTTTTCTAATATGAAAATTTATAAACCAACAAAACACTGACAACTAAGAATAATTGATTTTATTTAACAGAACAAAATTATATGATTTATGCTATGAGGAAAAGAGTAAGATAATTGCTAATCTAGTGAACCTAACATAAAAATACGAATTATTAAAA